CCTGAGCCTAGAGGCCTGTGTAGACCTTTATCCACCCCTGAGTGTGAAACATGAAGCAAGAAAACCCTGAACTCCCTTTACCCAGGTTTTAGAATGACCCAGGGTTTACTATTTCTATTGTGAAAATCACTATCATTTATTGATAACATTCTTAATTTCATAATCGCTGTGACTTAATGTTGACTAAAAGAAAGAACACAAAGCACATGCATCCAGAGGATTATGTGCTTGAATGTAATGCCATATAAAAAGCTCTTCTTGACAGCAAACCATGCTCATCTATTTCACATAAAGTTCACATAAATGTACTTGATTGAATTAAATATAATCTTCATATATTTGCAGAATATTATAAGTATAATGGGAAGTCATGAATGTCTTATAATTTTACATAAAATATCTTAAAGCTATTGTCAGGATAGACACTCAGATCTGATGAATCCAGGCAAGTTTCTTGGACACACAGTGTGGGAGTACAAAGGTGAGTGAGTGAAGCAGGTAATAATATGAATAGTGACTTGAACTTGTTCAAGAGTCTTTTTCTTAGCAACAGAGGTGCAAAAGCTGGAAGTTGCCAAATTTGCTTAATCTGTAGTTCCATAGATTTTTTTTTGAGCCATCACCTGACAAGTGTTATGTGACTGAACATATTGTATTAGAACAACCGACAGTGAAAAATGTGAGTCTATGGCCATGTTCACCCAGCAGCAGAATACGGTTGTCAGTCCTGTATTTGAGTCATTAATACAGTTGCGTTCACACACATTTCAGTTGTTTATGGGGAAGGCAACCACATTTTATATCCAAACTCACAACTGTAAAACCGTAAAAGACTCACAACTGTATTTTTGGTGAAGCTCTGCTGTTTGAATGGAACCGTACTGGACAATTAGATGTCTGTGCTACACATATGTGGCTAACATATTCCGTTTTTAATTTAGGTAACTTACAGAGATGCAGATATGAGTTGTGTGTAATCTGAAGTTGCAGCCTACAAAAATTAACCTGGAATGAAATATGACTGTTGTAAAATAAAAAAAGTGTGACAATTTGCTCAAGTGGTGGTGAGGGTGGAGTTTCTTTTTTCTCGTCTATAATGCCAAATGGGGCAGGAGCAGCACTGGCTGTAGTTAGTGCACTGTTAGTTGATTTAGTATTTTGTAAGTAAAAAAAAAACAACTTAAACACATATATGTCTTTAAAATGCTTTATTGATGCAAAAACACAGAGAGTAATATAAAATATTTTTAAAATATCAGTAATGGGAAAATAAGTAAGCAAAGGTTAAAGATGTGTTTTTTTTCTTCTAGCAGATGAAAGTACTATTTTGGGCTATTTTTCAGGCATAAAGGATGGATTCAAGATGCAGGTCACAGCATCATCAGCTTTCCATAAGTTCTCTTGAAATTGAACTTATCTGAGTTATTGAGAGCTAATTCAAGCTTCTGCAGGTCTTTAACCAGAACACCATTTCTTGAGCTGAAAATATCAGCCAGAGAGGCAGCCATTGGAGAAGGTTTGTGTTCATTACACTGTGGGCCCTGCAGACTGGGTGCACATTTCACTTCATAGGTAAAAAAGAAGGTGCCATATGTAAAAACACAAGCATCAGTCACAACTCCACTTCTAAGATAAAAAGAGCATGAACCAAGGAGATCGCTGTTCCAGAAGCCGTCTACATCATCTACTTTAAAAGTTAGTTTATTGGCCATTCTGATCTTAATAGGTCCAAACTCAAATGTTTCTGGCCAACGTGGATTGTCATTATCATGAATGGTCTCAGTGCGCTTGATTTGCTTGTCATATGTAACAGTCACAGTGCCATCTGTTTGACTACCTACATCTCCATACAGACCTTTGGCTCTGAGCTTGTAGACTTTCAGGGTGGCAAGTCCTTTTTCAGCTGGACAGCAGTTAGACTTTATAATTTGACTACTTTCACAAACACAAGCACATCGGTCTCTTGCGCTGCACTTCCTGCCAATCTTGCAAGGCTCAGAGCAAACCTTCATGAGGGCATTTTGAATGATGTATTCTTCAACAGCTTTCTTCAGTCCTTTCCTTGCAGGGTATTTATTACTCAGTAAGAAATGGAGGGGTTTCAGAGAGTAATGCACAATGTCAGGGAGACTCTTCAAAGACTCAAGCCATTTTGTAAGGGAATTTGGGTGTGATGAACCAGAAAAAAGCAGATCTTCTCCATTTATGTTTCCTCCAATAATCTCTGTCTGACGCTCACTGAACATGGAGCTGAACTTTTCATCTGTGCCCATCTTCTTCTTCTTTTCTTTACAAAAATGTGCTTCTACTTTCACAGTTGCTACATTGTAGGAACCAGAAGCTTCCACATCCAAGCAGTCCTTCACCGCAGTGTCTGTAAGTCCACTCACTGCTGCCTGACAGGTTTTGATGGCTGTTATGGCTTTCATTTGCCCTCCTAACTTAACACTTGTGGTATAGTGAGTGCCATATGTGGTGATCAGGTTGCGGTATGCGTCTGGATCGTAGGATGCAGGGAGCGATTTGATTGCTTCAAGAAACTCTTCATGAAGAGGAGGCTTTGAAGCTACACGATATCTGTAAAGAAACAGTAGACACATTTAAATTTAGTGGAATCAAAGAAGAAACAATTTGCAGTTAATATTTTCATTTCTGTGTATAGTCATTATCTTTTTAACAGTATGAGTGAAAGAAAAAAAAAAAGACCCCAGCTCTCTCACCTGTAAAAATTGCACCCAACTTCATGTTTGGTGAAACTGTATTTGTCTTGTTTTGATTTTGTCATTGCAAATTTTGCTTCCCTGGAATGAGTGCTTCCAACCGCAGCTCCAACAGCCTTGACATCTAAACCAACTTTCCAGCCAACTGAGAGTGCTGATGATGAATCATTGACCAGTGCTTCACTTGATTCAAAGATCTGACTGGAGACTTTCATTGAACACTTTGGCAAGGTCCTCCAGTCTACAATTGCAGTTGGTAGCTTCTGTTTTATTCCATTCATGTAATTGTTTTTACGCAATTTACAAGTGCCATTTCCTAAATCCCATTTTTCTGTGTTGATAACGTAAGAACCTTTTCGCTCCATGGTCACAACATCAAATCCTTCTCCAGCAAGATTGTATCCTGGAACAAAAGGAGCATCCTCACACTCTTTTGATGCACTTATGTCATCCTCTCCAGAAATGGTCATTAGAAGCAATGCCAAGAAAACAAGATAAATCTGGTACTGCCCCATGATCTGTAGCGAGATAAGAAAATGTCAATATTTCTGTCAATTCATTATTGGTGTAAAATTTAACATAATTTAACAGTTTCCAAGAATAGTTTGGAGTATCCAGTAACAATAATGTCTTTAAAAATTACAGCATTGCTATTTTTAAACATTTAACAAATATTTGTAAAAGCAAACCATCATAGTATAAATATGTTGTTTCTCTAACCTGTCTTTTCGTATGATGATTGTGTGCTTGTGGGTGTCAAAGGTTTGTGGTGCAAATGATATGCCATCACGTGGCTATGACAAATCTTCTGATGTTTGACACATTGAGTGTGTAAGTGTCCTAAGATGAGCAATTCTATAAATAATGTTCAGTGAACAGCGAAGAACGAGAACGTGTCTTGAATGTGTCAATAACCTCTCCAAATGCACGGTACTGTCATAAAGCAGCAGGACAGTTATGCTCAAGAATGGAAGACTTTTGCATTTTTAAAAAGATACTCTGGTTTCAGTCCTCTGGTGGTTTAAGTGTTAACCATAGTCCTAGGCTACGGGACTTTATTGCACGCGATGTAGACAACAATCGAATAAAGTTTATTATGAATAAATGTTAAATAAAGTACATAAAATAAAATGGGCCTACAAGAATTTTTTTTATCCATCCCACAAGTCTTGTAAGTCCATGTATTTTATTGTTATTATTATTATTATTGGTAATATTTTTATATTCGTTATGTATTAGATTTTTTTTTTACCTTCATTTCGATCTCTTTACTTAACGTTCAGGGCTGCGTTTCCCAAAAGCATCTTAAGCCTAAATCGATTGAAGAACCATTGTCATCATTTGGCTTACGATGCTTTTGGGAAACGCAGCCTTGAAGAGTTTTGTAAACAATAGCCTATACTGTAAATGCCCGACATGCCAATAAAGCTTTGATCTCAAAACTTTATTGGCATAATTGTCAGGCGTTTACAGTATTTGCAAAGTATATGGTAGCATATACTATCAACTAGAAGTTGTTCCCTCAATAGAATCTCATGGCCACGACATATTATCACGTTCCCACGAATTAATATCTCGTGGCCACGACAAAACTAAACCAAAAAGACTCAAGCTTCATTTTTTTTT